CTTGCCAGGGAAGCACTTATTCTACTGAGCCATCTCCCCGGCCCCATTGATCACATTTATTATAAGGAATTTGTACCTGTACATGGTATATAACTTAATTCTTTTTTTTTCTTTCTTTTTCTCCCATTCCCCTACCCTTCTTTCAACCCTTCTTCCCCTCGTTATTTGCAAAAGCTAAAATTAGTGATTTTAAGGTGACCTTTTCTCTGTAGATCTGTGCCTGAGTCTTGTCCTCCAGTGCCCTGGTCAGTGAGGAGCTGATCGAGGTGAGGCTGAAGGGTCTTACTGTTCTTCCCCACGCTGCTAATCAAACCAGGGCTTTGAGCGTGCTAGGCAAGCACTGTTCCTGAGCTACACTCCCAGCCTCATCAACTTTAAACCTAAAGTCCTCTAAAGTAAAAATCACAGCATGCAGTCCAATATCTACTTCCTGGGGCTGGGAGGGAGATGGGTTGAAAGTGGAGCCTTCAGGGGCCGGGGAGATGGCTCAGTAGAATAAGTGCTTGCCTGACAAGCGCAAGGGCCTGAGTTCAATCCCCGGTTCCGTCAAAAAAAAAAAAAGTGGAGCCCTCTGTTTAGAAGGCAAAATGACCACATCCCCACATACCTGACCCTAAATCCTTGGGCAGCAGCCTCAGTTCTCACCTAATTGGTTACCAAACTAGTAACTTCTTCCTTCTTAACCTGTTTCACAACAAACGCATCCAACTAAAGCACTCCTGATTTTTTCACTTAGAATCGTTTTAGCCACAAGAGAGAGAAAGAAGGAAGGCTAGGCATGGTGGTGCGTGCCTGTAATCCTAGCACTTGGGAAGCTGAGGTAAGAAGACTGCCACAAATTCGAGGTCAGCCTGGGCTCCATAATGACATGAATGCCAGGCTGAATGACATATTGAGACCCTGTTTTTTGCTTTTGTTTTGAGACAGGTTCTCACTCTGAAGTTCAGGCTGACCTCAACTTCATGGAGATCCTCCTGCTTTGGCCTCCCACATGCTGGGATTATCGGCATGTGCCATCATGCTCAAATGAGACCATGTCTCAAGAAATTAAAAACAAAAATAAAAAAGGAAGGAGTGTAAGAGAAAGGAAGGAAGGAAAAGACTGATGTACTATTCTCTGTAACAGGGTGTCTGCCAATTGGCATGTTCTAGTGTAGTTAATCCAGCAGCCCTTGAACATCAGCAGTGCCAGCTTCTTCTTTCTGTCTCTCCTCTGTCATCTTTAGCATGTTGGACTTGAAGTCATTTCTGTCTTACATTCTTCTATAAAGTGAGGAAAGGCAGCCCGGGAGATGGCTCAGTAGAATAAGGGATTCCCTGGCAAGCACAAGGGCCTGAGTTCAATCCCTGGGTCCACCAAATAAATAAATAATAAGTGAGGAAAAATTCACCAGAAACCTCTCAGATGATTTCCCAGTTGGTCCCTTTGATAAGAAATATATATATATATATATATATATATATATATATATATATCCTGTGCCTAAATCCTTCACTGGGCAAAGACACTGGAATTATGTGATGGGCTTCTTAGACTAATGAGTCCTCACCCTCTGATGCTGGAAAGGAGCCAGCTACCCTGAATCTTGGGTCTTTCAGAATACCAGTCTGTCAGGAAGGAGGGAAGTAAGAGATCTATCAGGCTCACCTTCAGATCTGCCTTCATGTTGCTACCCTATGGTGTCTCTAAATCTGGCCAAGTCACTCTGGGTTAGCTCCCTTCTATTAAGTTCTAGCAAGGTTCTCTGAAGTCCCTAGGGTCAAAAATAAGCACCAGGGGCCAGGGAGATGGCTCAGCTAAGTAGAATAAGGGCTTGCCTAGCAAGCACAAGGGCCTGAGTTCAATTCCTGGTTCTGTAAACCAGGGCTAGGGAGATAGCTCAGTGGAATAAGTGTTTGCCTGGCAAGCACAAGATCCTGAGTTCTAATCCCTGGTACCACCCAAAAGCAAACAAACAAAGCACCATAGGGCCAGCTAGACAGCTCAGCGGATTAAAGTGCCTTCTTAGGCAGTCAGGGGCCAGGGATTTGATCTCCGGAGTGCCAGCCCTACCCTCGTGGCATGCTGAGACAGTGATTGAGACTGGACGTGGTGGTGCGCACCTGTAATCCCAGCGTTTGGGAGGCTGTAAACAGGAGGATCATTGTGAGTCCTATCTGCATAGTGAGACCCTATAGACCTGTAGAACCTTTACTAAATACATAAAAAAAAAAAAAAACCACCATATCCTGCATTATACCATACTCTTACAGGACTGCTTCTGTAGCATTGTTCCTGGCTTCCTCCTAACTCAATTTTTTATTGAGTTTATCTTTTTTCTTTCTTTTTTTTTTCACCAGGAATTGAACTCAGGATCTTGCACTTGCCAGGCAAGCATTTATGCCACTGGGCTATATCCCCAGCTACTCTTTTATTTATTTATTTCTATTTATTTTTGGATACTGGAGCCAAACTCAGGACTTCATACTTACTAACAGGCACAGCGCTGCTGAGCCAAATGCCACTCCCCCTTAGAGCAGTGAGACACCAGGCCTTCTACAGTCCCCTGTACACACTGTCCCCAGCACCTTTCCCTGACTTCCTCATAGGACTTCTTCGCTAGGTGATAAAAAACTGTATTATCTCACTCCACTGCTGCATACTATCATATTCCTATTTTACTCAGAAAAACTCTGAGCCCTATAGTAGACTTTTATATATGGAGTTTCTGGTAAAGAGTTTATAAGCATAAATATTACAGTATTACTTTCCCACAAAGAGTACTAAATTACAGTCCTGTGTGAACTCTTGTAAGCCAGCAGGGGGTGATAGCAAATTTTTATTTTGGTTTGGTTTGGTATGTTTTTTTGGTGAGACAAGGGTTCACTCTATAATTCAGACTGTCTTTGAACTCACAGTGTAGCCCAGGCTGACCTCAAACTCGAAGCAATACTTTTGCCTCCTCCCAAGTGCTAGGATCCCACCGTAACTGATGATAGAAATTTTTTAATTTTTGCTGATTTGATAGACAGTAACTTGTTGCTGTTTTAACTTGGCATTTACAAGATTATCATCAGGTAGGCATTTTCCATGTCAATTAAAAGTTACATCATCCTTTTTGTTTTGTTTTTTTGAAACAGGTTCTCACTAGTCAGGCTAGCTTTGATCTCATTCCATAGCCCAGGCTGGCCTCCTGCCTCAGCCTCCCAAGTGCTGGGATTATGATGTGCACCACCATGCCTGGCTATGTCTTCCCTTTTGTAAAGAAAAAGTTTTCAACAAATGAGTTGAGACTGGGTGTGGCAGCGCATGCCTATAGTCCCAGCACTCAGCCTGCGGCAGGAGGATTCTGCAAGGTCCACACTAGCCTGAACTACGAAGTGAGACCCTGTCTCAAAAACAAGTGTTCATTTTGAGGTTCTCCCTCCCTTGTGCTATTTCCTCCCCATTTACCCACAGCCATTTTTTCTCCAGTGCGTTCTCATTTTTCTGTCACATCATTTCTGTCCCATCACCTATTGAATAGCAAATCTGTATCTGTCTACTATGCACCAGGCAGTTTCTGCCGCTTTGACTTTGCTTCTCCTGAGACAGGCATTGCCCCCACTTTATAGATGAGTAAAATGAAGCCCGGAGAACTTTGTCTGAGGCACAAATTAAGTGTTGGAGACAGAACTGAAAAGAGCCTGACTGGAGCCTTTGTCTTTTTCCCTGTGTCCACTGACTGCCCTTCCTGTATAATACATCCTGGTTTTATCTGTCCCCTGAATTGGCTATGGTTTATCTTTTTCTCTTCCCCATTTTTTCCCTGAGGATTGTTTAGTCTCACTGATGTATTTTATTTACAGTGTCTAGGTTTCTCTTGCTTTTTTGTTTGTTTGTATTTTGTTTCTTAAGTCAGTCTCACAGGGCTGGGGAGATAGCTCCGTAGAAAAAGCACTTGCCTGGCAAGTTCAAGGGCCTGAGTTCAATCCCCAGTACTGCCAAAAAAAAAAAAAAAAAAAAAAGACAGAGTCTCACTATTATGTGGTTCTTTTTTCCTTCTTTGAGACAGGGTTTTGCTATGTAGTCCCTGATGCCCTCAAACTCCCAGCAATCCTCCTGCCTCAGCCTCCCAAGTGCCCGGATTATCATGTAGTTCAAGCTGGCCTTATGTACTGGAATTATAGATGTGTGCCACTATGGCAGCTCTCTTCCTTTTTTTTAATCAGGTCCCCCTGAGTTCCTTCTCATCCCCCCAGCCCTCAGCAGACCCACTTACTGTGAGGAGCTTCTCTCTGTCTCTTGTTTCTGCTGCTGACCTGAGCCTGATGAAACAAATGCTAGAGAACAGGCCTGGGAGAGTTGTGAGGGACGGGAAGGAGGCAAAATGTAGGTGAGCCGTGGCTGGGGGGCTGTGTTGAGGAGGAGGCCAGGCCAGGGTATGAGGCGTGTGAGTGAGGAGAGGGTGCAGGCCTATAGAGGCAGAGCACAGTGGCATGTGCTATAGATCAGCTACTGTGGAAGCTGAGGCAGGAGTGCTTGAGCCAGGGCAATGTACACAGACTGTGTCTCTCTTTCCTTTTTTAATGTATTTAGTAGAAGGTCTCACTACATAGAACCAATTTGTAGTGATTCTCCCGTTTTCAGCCTCCCAAGCACTGGGATTACAGGTGCGCACCACCTCACCTAGTCTTAATCACATCTCAGCGCATGGGGTGGGGGCGCAGCATGGCAAGCAGGTGGACTGAACCCCAGTCACTGCATCTGCCTAAGCAGGCGCTTTAGTCCGCCGAGCTACCTGACCAGCCCTCCTTTTTTTTCTTTTCTTTTCTTTCACTTTCTTTATTTTTTTCTTTTCTTTTCTTTTTATTGGTGCATTTTAGGTATCTCTAATGGTCACATTCACCCTAGGGACTTTGTCCCTGTACACAATACAACTTGCTTCTTCTGCTTTTCTCTCTGTCCTTGCCTCCCTTCAACCTGTCTTTCCCTCCTTATTTACAAAAGCTTTGTTTCCATTTTTTCTTCTGTTCTTTTATTTTCTTGTCCCCTCCTTCCTTTTCCCTCCCTCCTCCCTTGTTCCCCTTCCCATTTAAACATTTTCTTCCCTTTTCCCAATATCTGTTATATCTTGGTCCTTATTTACACTTTCAATTTCTAACACCAGAAAAGCAACTCTGTATTTAGACCTGTGTGTCCAATTTCTTTCACTTAAGAATATGGTCTCAAGGCACATCCATTTACCTAAACATATCTCAAGCTTATTAGACCACGTCTCTTATAAAAAGAAATTATAGGGGCTGGAGAGATGGTTCAGTGGTCTAAAGCAACTACTTGGAACAAGCTTAGCAAAGCACAGGGACCGCGGTTCAATCCCCCAGCACCACATGCCAGCCAGCCCCGCCCCCTGGTGGGCTGAGCTAGCCACACACACACACACACACACACACACACACACACACACACACACTAAATGTTTTTTTTTTAAAAAAAAGAAATTGAAGAGAATTTCTGGTGGGTGGTGGGGCTCACGTCACAGAGGCAGAACATGAGGGTCCAGAGAGTTGCAGTGAGCGGCAGAAAGAGGCTGAAATCAGAGGAAACAAACTAGGTCTGAGACCAGACTAACCACAGTCCCTGCCTCCTCAGGCCCCTGAGAGAGCATAGCACAGGACCCAAGGGATGCTAAGACCAAGGAGACAGGCATATGGGCGCAGGGCCTGCTTTGTGGTCTGTACCATGAGGCTACCAAAAGGAGCCTGCACCCTGTGCCCTACTCTGATTTTGCGTCTGCCAAGACATAGGAGCCGATTCCACGGCTGATTCTCCCCCTCCGCTGCCACCCATCATTGCCAGGCACTGCCATCCCTGCCCCCTTCCAGAACAGTTTGCAGGGAGGAGCAAGGCCATCCCCAGCAATGAACCAGCTCCAAATCTACACCTGTTCTTTTAGGAAACCTCTATTGGAAGCCCCTCGTGGCCTCTGTTGTTCCTTGTCTGCCACCAAGTCAGAGGAGGATAAGTATGGGCTCCTTTACCAACGTACTCCATGCTCCCAAAACCCCAGCCCAGGTCCAGCTCATGCTCATTTTACATTGTTGCCCCATACCCAGCCAACCTGGTTCATGCTTAAACCTTAACCCACATAAGAAGTCCATAAAGAGCTGGACACAGTATTGTGCCTGTAATCCCAGCTCTTGGGAGGCTGAGGTAGGATTACCATGAGTTCAAGGCCAGCTGGGCTACACAGAGAGTTCAAGATGAGCCTAAGCTATATAGCAAGACCTTGTTTCAATAATAATAATAATAATAATAATAATAATAATCACAATAACAGTTTTTAATTCAAAAAAATACAAAAGTCCCTAGAGCCACACAACTGAGGCTTTTCTACCTCCTTGGCAGGAGCCTGGGAGTCATTCAGGGCCCTGCAAGGCATGGGAAGGCAGGGTCTCTTCAAACCCCGCCTCTCACCCTTGTCTCCAGGGAGCACCCAGAGGCTAGGGTCCCATTTCCACCTGAGCTGGGATCCCAGCCCTTCTGCCCTAGTGTTCTTTCTTGCTCTGGCAGTGGGTAGCCGAGTGAGTCAAGAGCTGCATTACACGAAGGAGAAGCTGGGAGAGGAAGCTGCCTACACCTCCCAGATGTTGATTCAGACTGCACGCCAAGAAGGGAAGAACGTCCTCACATCTGAGGCGCTTGGCCTCCACCTCCAGGCAGCCTTCACTGCCAGTAAAGCGCAAGTATCATTGTATGGAAAGTGAGTCTGGCTGAGACCCTGAGCTGGGATGTGTGGCAGCACTTCTGACTCGAGACTGCCCGAGCCTGCTGATCACCTGAGCCCTGGCTTTTGCAGGTCCTGGGATTTGAACAAGATCTGCTATAAGTCAGGAGTTCCCCTTATTGAAAATGGAATGATTCAGCGGGTGAGTGTCCTGATCCATTGCCACAGGCTGGATGAACACACAGCCTGGCAGAGGCAGGGCCTTCTCCCCTGTGGGGGGACCCAGGCATAGGGAGGATCCTTGGGAAGAATTCAGGGCAGGACTGATGTGACTGGGATGTCCTTGGCAGATGATTGAGAAGCTGTTTCCATGTGTGATCCTCACCCCGCTTGACTGCTTCTGGGAAGGAGCCAAACTCCAAGGGGGTTCTGCCTACTTGCCGTGAGTGCCCCACGCTGCTCCTGGGCCCTGCTTCATTCCCGCCAGTGACTCCCCCAGCAGCAAGGGAGTGTGAGGGAAAGGGGGACAGATACTTACGAAGTCCTCATGACTCCCAGAGCTCAGGCAGGCCGGGGCTGCCTGACGCCGTGGATCCTGTCACCTCTGAAGGAGGGGAAGGCCTATTTAGGCAAAACAGAATACAAGCATCGGCAAGATCTCAGCAAAGGAGAAAATGATCCCACAAAGAGATTTAAGGCAGGGAATAAACTAGTTATCAGCTAAGCTGGTGCCTTGGCCAAAAAGCAAACCTGTTAGATGCAGGTGCCTGTGTGGTTAATAGACCAAGCGAAGGCAGCTTGGTATACACTCGAGGACTTTTTTGTTTGTTTTGCGGTACCAGGGATTGAACTCAGGACCCTGGGCTTGCCAGGCAAGTGCTTACTCTACTGAGCTATCTCCCCAGCCCAACTTGGAGACTTTGCTAGGCCCTCTCTTCCATGTACTAAGTATAAGTATGTCCAGCCTGATATCTGTCTTAGCCCCTTGTACCCATCCACAGACCACTGCAGGAATCTAGGGGGGTTGGTAACCCAGCAGCCCTGAGAAGCTGGGCCTTGTACACCCTTCATACAGGAGATGACACCTCCAAAGAGGGCAGTATACTGCACAAGTCCACAGCCACAGCTCGGAGGGTAGATATTAATCCCTGACTGACTAACTCTGGGTTCTCCCAACAGGGGCCGCCCCGATATCCAGTGGACCAACCTGGATCCAGAACAGCTACTTGAGGAGTTGGGCCCCTTTGCCTCCCTTGAGGGCTTTCGGGAACTGCTGGACAAGGCACAGGTGGGCCAGGCCTATGTAGGTCGGCCCTGTCTGGACCCTGAGGATCTCCAGTGCCCTGCTACGGCTCCCAACCACCACAGCAGGCAGGTGGGTTCTGATCAGGTCTGCCAGGGAAGGTGCTCTGTCCCCATCCTCCTCGTGTGTCCCTTTGTTCTGAGAGACATAACTGTGCTCAGTCCCCTCCCCCATGGGAGTATTTCATGCCCACTCCTCCTCTAAGGAGCCCTCAAGTGGCATATGAATCCCTTTTTCCTTTTTTTTTTTTTTTTTTTTTTGTGTGTGTGTGTGTAACCAGGGATTGAACTCAGGCCCTTGTGCTTGCCAGGGAAGCACTTATTCTACTGAGCTATCTCCCCGCGCCCCCCTTTTCCTTTTCTAAGCCCATAGCTAGACTTTATCAAAATCAAGAGTACAAAGAAAAAAAAGAACAAAACAACTAAACATAAATACATACTTACTTTCCCAAATGTTCTTATGAGCTTCTGTATGGTTCTTTCTCCAAAATCCACCATAGTCATGCCAGCTCCTCCCAACAGCCTCTTCCCAGCCCTCTGTCCCTCTGTGGCCTCCTGTCTGCAGGACACTAGCTGTTCCCTCCTGCAGAGTAGGCAAGGCTCAGGAGAAGAGTTGCTCACACTTCAGGATTACTGAGCTCTGTACCAGACAGTTCCTACAAGCCTGGGACATCCATAGCCGGGACCTGAGTACCAAACCCCTTCCTTCCCCCTCCAGGCTCCCAATGTAGCTCAGGAGCTGAGTGGAGGCTGCCACGGCTTCTCTCACAAATTCATGCACTGGCAAGAGGAATTGCTGCTGGGAGGCATGGCCCGGGACCCCCAAGGACAGCTGCTGAGGTAGGAGCTGGTGAAGGAGCCCCACGCGTGGGATTCTCCATGCTCTGACAGCAGCCTACTGCAACCCCCACCCCCTGGATATTTGGGCAGCTCTGACCCCCTCTTCTGTCCCCCAAATCAGGGCAGAGGCCCTACAGAGCACATTCCTGCTTATGAGTCCTCACCAGCTGTACGAGCACTTCCGAGGTGACTACCAGACGCACGACATTGGCTGGAGTGAGGAGCTGGCTGGTATCGTGCTGCAAGCCTGGCAGCGGCGCTTTGTACAGGTCAGTGTGGCCCAGGGTGGGAGGGTCCCCGAGGCCTCCCCACTCCCCCTCACACCTGCCCGGTCTCTTTAGCTGGCCCAGGAGGCCCTGCCTGAGAACTCCTCACAGCAGATCCACGCCTTCTCTTCGGCCACCCTGGATGATGTCCTGCATGCTTTCTCAGAAGTTAGCACCGTCCGTGTGGTAGGAGGCTACCTGCTCATGGTAGGTCTTGCTCCCTACACCCTGCCCCATTCTCGAGGTACCCACCCTGGAAGTCCCTGTGTGAGACCACAACTTGTGTCCCCACAGCTTGCCTACGCCTGTGTGACCATGCTGCGATGGGACTGTGGCCAGTCCCAGGGGGCTGTGGGCCTTACTGGGGTATTGCTGGTGGCCCTGGCAGTGGCCTCAGGCCTTGGGCTCTGTGCCATGTTTGGAATTGCCTTCAATGCTGCTACTACTCAGGTACACAGGACTGCAGGCACATCTTGGGGGTCGTCACCAGCCTGAGTCGTCCCACCAGCTGCCCACTCCTTTCCCCTCCAGGTGCTGCCCTTCTTGGCACTGGGCATCGGGGTGGATGATGTATTCCTGCTGGCACATGCCTTCACAAAGGCCCCGCCTGGCACCCCTCCGCAGGTGAGAGCCCCATCCTCCAGCCTGGGGCCTCCAAGGCAGATCACACTGTGGTTAAGAGGCTCTTACTAGCTCACTGCTTTGTCCTATCTCTAAGTGGGGACAGTGATAGTGCTAGTGTCCTGAGATTGTCTTGAGTATACTAATACCAAAATAAGTGCTTAAAACAAAACATGGCCCTGACAGTGACACACAATCCCAGCAACTTGGGAAGCTGAAGTAGGAGAATTGCAAATTCGAGTCCTATGTGGGCAACTTAAGGAGAAAGAACTTAGGGCACAATAGAAATTTAAAAACCTAGGGATACAGGTCAACGTGACAGCCTTTAGTTCCATCCTTAGCACTTCAAAAGAAAAATATATGACATATACATGATACTTAGTAAACACTAGCTGCTTCGGCATTATTGCCCCAGCCCTGCCACCCGACTTCTGGAGCCTCCCTTCCTTTTCTCTGCCTGGGAAGCCCATGCCCCTCCCTGCAACCTGATGGCACTGTCCCTGCTCTGTGCTGGCAGGAGCGTGTGGGCGAGTGTCTGCGGCGCACCGGCACCAGCATCACGCTCACATCAGTCAGCAACATGGTGGCCTTCTTCACAGCTGCCCTTGTGCCCATCCCTGCCCTGCGGGCCTTCTCTCTACAGGTGAGGCCTCACAACACAGCAGGCAGGGTGGGCACGGGGCTAGGCTATGCCTCCCGCATGTGTGCCCTCCTCCCCAGGCAGCGGTCGTGGTCAGCTGCAACTTCGCAGCCGTGGTGCTCATCTTCCCAGCAGTCCTCAGCCTGGACCTGTGCCGGCGCCACCACCAGCGCCTGGATATGTTCTGCTGCTTCTCTAGGTACGGTCCCCATTGCCCACCCCTTTGGGAACTCGCCCCCGGCCCAGCATGTCCCCTCTGTCCCATTTCCAGCCTGAGCCTGCCATACATTCTCTTCGCCTCTTGTAGCCCCTGTTCTGCTCAAGTGATTCAAATTCTGCCCCAGGAGCTGGGGGAAAGGACAATACCCATGGGCATTGCCCACCTGATCACCACAGTACAAGCTTTCACCCACTGCGAAGCCAGCAGCCAGCATGTGGTCGCCGTCTTGCCGCCCCAAGCCCACCTGATGCCCCCCGCTTCTGCCCCGCTGGCCTCTGAGCTCTTCAGCCCTCGAGAGTCCACTCGAGACCTTCTAAGCCAGGAGGAGGACTCAAGGCAGAAGGCACCCTTGCAGCCCCCGCCCCGTGCCTGCTGGGATCTTGCCCGCTTTGCGCGCTGTCACTTTGCACCCTTGCTGCTCCAGTCACACACCAAGGTAAGAGTGGGTGGGCAGGCAGAGACGTGGAATCTGCAGGCCCCAAGCAGCAGAGGGCCCAGCCCAGCATCCGAGAGCTGGAGGGGCCCCTGAGCCCAGCTCCGTTGCCATTTCCCACAGGGCCTGGTGCTGGTGTTCTCTGGGGCTCTCCTGGGCCTGAGCCTATACGGAGCCACCTTGGTACAGGATGGGCTGGCCCTGGCGGACGTGGTGCCTCGGGGCACCAAGGAGCATGCTTTCCTGAGCACCCAGCTCAGGTACTTCTCCCTGTATGAGGTGGCCCTGGTGACCCAGGGTGGCTTTGACTACGCCCACTCCCAACGTGCCCTCTTTGATCTGCACCAGCGCTTCAGTTCCCTCAAGGCTGTTCTGCCCTCGCCTGCCACCTGGGAACCCCGCACCTGGCTGCACTATTATCGCAACTGGCTCCAGGGTGAATGGCTGGGAGACTGGCTGGGCAGGGTGCTGCAGGGCAGCATGGCTGGAGCCTCAAGCTAACAACCCATCCCACACCTCCCAGGGATCCAGGCTGCCTTTGACCTGGACTGGGCTTCTGGCCGCATCACCCACCACTCTTGCCACAATGGCTCCGAGGATGGGGCCCTGGCCTACAAGCTGCTCATCCAGACCGGAAATGCCCAGGAGCCTCTGGATTTCAGCCAGGTTGGAAGAGGACTTAAATGGTCAGAGACAGAGGGCTCAAGACCCCAGCCCCAGGCCCTCAAACCCTTCTGTCTCTGCAGTTGACCACAAGAAAGCTGGTGGATGAAGAAGGCCTGATCCCTCCAGAGCTCTTCTACGTGGGGCTCACTGTGTGGGTGAGCAGTGACCCCCTAGGGCTTGCAGCCTCACAGGCCAACTTCTACCCCCCACCTCCTGAGTGGCTGCATGACAGATTTGACACCACCGGGGAGAACCTTCGCAGTGAGTGGGCTCTCTGTAGCCTGGCCCACCCCCGCCCCCAGGCCCTGTCCCAAGGGTCCTACCCCTTGTTGGATGCTCATTGTCCTCCCTTCCTCTGCCTGCTCCTCCTGTCCACAGTTCCAGCTGCACAGCCCCTGGAGTTTGCTCAGTTCCCCTTTCTGCTGCACGGCCTCCAGGAGACTGCAGACTTCCTGGAGGCCATCGAGGGCGCCCGGGCAGCGTGTGCAGAGGCTGGCCAGGCAGGGGTGCACGCCTACCCCAGTGGCTCCCCCTTCCTCTTCTGGGAGCAGTACCTGGGGCTGCGGCGCTGCTTCTTGCAGGCCATGTGCATCTTGCTAGTGTGCACCTTCCTCGCCTGTGCACTGCTGCTGCTCAGCCCCTGGACAGCAGCTCTCATCGTGAGTACTCAGGTGGGGCACCTGCTCTCTGCAGCCTGCTCTTTCTGAGAGGGGGTCCCTGACAAGCTCTGCCTCCCTAGGTGGTGGTCCTGGCCATGGTGACTGTGGAGCTCTTTGGTGTCATGGGTTTCCTGGGCATCAAACTCAGTGCCATTCCTGTGGTGATCCTTGTGGCCTCTGTAGGCATCGGTGTGGAGTTCACAGTCCATGTGGCCCTGGTGAGCACCAGCCCTGGAGGGGGTACAAGGAATGTCAGTCGGGGTTCCACAGATATGGTCTAGCACCTGTTGGTTTATTTGTTTTTGTTTTTCGAGATAGGGTCTCACTTTGTAGCCCAGGCTGACCTTGGACCCACAGTGATCTTCCTGCCCCCACCGCAGTGCTGGAATTACAGGTGTGCACCCCCATGCCCAGCTGGTTTAAGCACTGCCTGTGGCTAGAGGCTGTTTAAGAATTGGGGATATAGGGTCAGGGATATATCTCAGCAGGCATAAGCACCTGCCTGGCAAGTACAAGATCCCCAGTTCAATCTCTGGTACCACCCCCCCCCAAAAAAAAAGTCTCTACTTCCAAACAAGCTTGTATTAGGAGTTAGAAATTGAAAATAAGTAAACAAATGAGCAGTTCAGTAAAGAGAAAACAATAAAGGCTTGTCTGGAATGGGTTAATGACAGAGTGGAAGGTGAGAAAACTGGGAACCAGTGAGTTTTGTTTTGATTTTTGGGTTGTTTGCTTATTTGTTTGTTTAGAGAGTCTCATTATGTACCCCAGGCTGGACTTTAAGTCTTTGTGATTTTCCTGCCTCAGCCTCCCCAGTCCTGGGATTATAGGTTCATAACACATGCCTGGTGCCTGCCTGCCTGCCTATCTATCTTCTTTCTTTCTTTTCTCTCCCCCACCCCCGCCACTTCCTTTATTGCCTTTCATCTTTCCTTAGTCTTGTTCTTCCTTCGTTTCTTTCTTTTTTTTTTTTTTTGTATTTTAGGGAAGGGTCTACAGGGTGTTCAGGATCTCACTACTAGATCCAACTCTAGTGATCCGTCTATTTACAGCCTCCCAAGAGCTGGGATTACCGGTGCACGCCACCATACCCAGTCTCAATTGCCATCTCAGCCTGCCCTGGGGGGCGGGGCCAGCCCTGCAGGCATAGGAATTGAACCCCTGGACCCTGGGCCCACTTGCAGGCACTTTAATCTACTGAGCTATCCTTTCTTCTTTTTCTTTCTCTTTCTTTCCTTTTTCAATGCTGTGCATCAAGCTTAATGCTTTGTGTATGTTATCCAAGTGCTGTACCACTGAGTTACACCCTCATCCCCAGGAAGTAACAGTTCTTTTCAAGTTTTATTGTGAGGGGATCACAAAAATGGGGTGCTACCTGGACAACATGGGTGTGAAGGAAGAACTCCGTCAACACAGATGTACTAGCACTGAGGAGGGCGCAGTCCTCTCCCAAAGCTTGTGTTCTGCACCAGAGGAAGTGAGGTGTGGACCAGCTAGAAGCACCCACAAAAACATGGTCAGACCACACAAGGAGCTCTCTTCCTTTCCCCTCAGGAGCGCTATTATTATTCTGACTATAAAAAAGATGTACTATTCCTGAGGGATAAGGCCCTAGCTGCAGTAGCCAGCACCACAAAAACAAACTAACAAAAAGTCAGTGTGCAGTGTGGGCATGGTGGCATACACCTATGAGCCTCGCAGTATATAAGGCTGAAGCAGGAGCATCACAAGTTTGAGCCGATCAGCAGTCTAGGCACCTGCCTGGTAAGCGCAAGGACCTGGATACAATCCCCGGTACTGCATGCCATGCCAGCCCTGTGCCAAGCTGGCGACCAAACACAGGCGTGGTAGCACACGCCTGTAATCCCAGCACCAGGGAAGCTGAAACAGGAGGATCACTGTGAGTCTCAGTTGTGTAGTGAGACCCTGTACCAAATAAATAAATACAAGTTTGAGCCTAGTTTGCAACTTAGTGAGATCCTGTCTCAAAATTGAAAAATGTAAAAAAGGGCTATGGATGTGGTTGAGTGCAAAGGCCCTGGGTTCAAGGAAAATAAAATAGTCAGTGCTAGAACAAACTAGAAATCTTTTGAAGCCAGGCTTGGTGGCACACACCTGCAGTCCCAGCATTTGGGAGGTTGAGGTAGGATGATCACTGCAAATCTGAGACCAGCCTGGGCTGCAAAGCAAGACCCTGTCTAAAAAAAAAAAAAAAAGATTAGATAGATAGATAGATAGATAGATAGATAGATAGATGATAGATAGATAGATAGATAGATAGATAGATAGATAGATAGATAGTTGGATAGATATTTGAAATGTCACCCTGAGAAGTTACTTTTATGATCTGAGTGTCCATCCTTCTAGATGAGGAGTTGCTAAATATTTCCTGTAAAGGGTTGATGAAAAAAATAGTTCAGCCGCAGGAGACCATTAAGTGTCACAGTTTTGGGCAACCCATTTGGGACCCCGCCAGCCTCTCAGGAGCTGTTCCTATTTCCCATTCTTATTCCCCAGTAATTTTTCCTACTTTTTTTTTCTGAGCAGAATATATTTATTGAGGGAAAGAAAGCGCCTGTCTGAGAGAGGGACAGAAGGGGGGCCCTCCTACTCTTAAATAAATAAAAAGTGTCACAGTGTTGCCATCATGGCATAGCAGTAGCCATTAGCCAGCCATAGAGTATACACCTATAATCCCAGCACTCGGGAGGCTGAGATAGGAGGATTGTTGTGAGTTCAAGACCAGTCTGAGCTACACAATGAGTTCAAGACCAACCTATACTACACAGTGGGACCCTGTTTAAAAAAAAAAGCCATGCGGTACAATGATGTACACCTATGATTCCAGCTGTTTGGAAGACTAGGGACTGGAAGATCACAAGTTCAAGATTAACCTGGGCAACTTAACAAGATCCTGTCCCAAACAGGATCTTTCATAATTTCAAAAATTATGAAAAGGGATGGAGATGTAGTTTGGTGATTACCCCTGGATTCAATTCCCAAACAGCAAATACATTAGAATGGGTGTGGTGATATTTCAACAAAATTTTATTTACAAACCCCACATGACAGGCTGTAGCCACACCCTCCCCCAATTCTGGACATCTCCCTGTGTCACCATACACCTCTACACTCATAAACGGTTCACCTGGCCTTCCGAAAGCAGGCACAGATTATGCCTAGGACAAAGAAACAGCAGCAGAAGACATGGGTGAGCTGGCCCAGGTTGACAGATGAGAGACCCCAAACCATTCTTTCCTCACCAGGGCTTCCTGACTTCCCAGGGTAGCCGGAACCTTAGAGCTGCCCAGGCCCTGGAGCACACATTCGCCCCTGTGACCGATGGAGCAGTGTCCACGCTGCTGGGTCTGCTCATGCTTGCCAGTTCCAACTTTGACTTCATTGTGAGGTACAGGACCCTCAGAGGAGGGTGCAGGGTCTGCCACACTGGCCTCTGCTCCTCACTGATGCCTGTCCCAACAGGTACTTCTTCATGGTGCTGACGGCGCTCACCCTCTTGGGCCTCCTCCATGGACTTGTGCTGCTGCCTGTGCTGCTGTCCATTGTGGGGCCCCCGCCAGAGGTTCGATCCCAGCCCTAGGGACAGGGTGGGGATGGGCAAGGGAAGGGCCTGAGCCAAAGAACCCTGCTCTCGAAGGCCCTCCCGACAGCTGCCGTCAGCCAAAACCAGCAGCCTGCTCTTCCCTGGCTACCACACTCCTGCCCCTCAGCCTCACTGGCCTCTTCTCACCCCTGCCTTGGCCTTTTGGGCTCCAGAGCAAGGTGCAGGGCTGACCCCAGCCCTTACATCTTCTTGCTGTGAGCTGTGGTCCTGCTGGGGCCCACAAGGCCCCATGCTCACCAACAAGCATGGTGCTCTTGAGGGAGGCACTGCCATCCCTTGCCCCATGCCAGGTGCTGCTGTCCCTCATCCCATGCCTACAGCTATGGTGTCTCCCCCAGGTAGTGCAGATGTACAAGGAGAGCCCGCAAGTGCCAACCCCCGCAGCTGCACAGGAAGGCAGGCTCAGGTGGGGGGCATCTCCCAGCCTGCCCCAGAGCTTTGCCAGAGTGACTGCCTCCATGACTGTGGCCTTCCACCCACCCCCACTCCCGGGTGCCTACATCCACCCATCCTCTGACGAGCCTACATGGTCCTCTGCTGCCACCCCCACTGCCAACACCTCTGGCAACCCCAGCACTAGGGGATCATGTCCAGCCACTGCATAAAGGAACCACAGAAACAGAGGCCCATGAGGTCACTGGAAAGTGGAGCAGGCTGCAGTCCAAGATGCCCTGGCAGGTCCTGCCGCTGCCATGTGCATCCCGACTAAGCCCTCGCAGACTCCCGGAACTCCATGCAGAACGGCCTGGTGCGCTGGGGCCCATGTCTGCCCACAAAAGCCAGCACTTCAGACCACAGTGCTGTCCACACAAGGACCTGGGATGTCTGTCCCTCAAGCACCCTGGGCCAGTGCTGGCCTTTCACTGCTCAGTGACTCTGAGGTAGGCTGTCCACCTCCTATAAATTATTTATATGAAGATGTTTATTTTTGTATTATACACAGATGTTAGCACTGCTGAAAGTTTTATTTTTAAAGAATGAAACATATTCTATGTGAACTTCTCTCAGATGACTGGTTTTCTCTCAGGCAGAGTTGGGAGTCTAAATAAATGTATTTGTGTTCCCGTTGCTGAGACACAATACCCAACACAGGAGGAGAGGTGTAGTTTAGTTCAGGGTTTGGGGGTTGGCCAGTTGTTGTTTGGATCCAAGGCGGGAACAGCAGGTGGAAGAAAACTGCTCCCTGCTCTCTTCATGGCAGCTAAGAAGCAGAGACAGGCTGGGCATGGTGGCCCATACATGTAATCCCAGCACTCACCGGAAGGCTGAGGCAGGTGGATCAATGTGAGTTCGAGGCCAGCGTGGGCTATGTAGTGAGAGCTTGACTCAAAACAAACAAATTCAGGGAAGGAAGAGAAGCACCTGCATCCTCTTCCAAGTGGGCCCCGCAGTCCATAGCTGTGAGGTCATCATGGATGACCTCCACTGCTGAGCATAGCACCCCATGATCTAGTCACCTCCCAAAAATCCTGCCTTAAAACACATGAGAGGGGCCGGGGAGATGGCTTAGTGGAATAAGCGCTTCCCTGGCAAGTGCAAGGGCCTGAGTTCAATCCCCGGTTCTGAAAAAAAAAACAAAAAAAAAACATGAGATGGGGTGGGGCATTCTGAATCTGAACTGGAACAGTAAGGACTAGGGATTGGGGGTGGCTCATGAGTGTTGGGTGGGAAAGACCTTTTGTTCTGGATTTTTGTCATACTTGCTAACACGATCTGGATTAAGTGCTTAGCATACAAAATGACACAACTATTTTTGGTGTTAAGCTCTACTGACTGTGGCTTTCTTTAAGGAGTTTGAACTTGTTTGTTTGAGATAGGGTCTCACTACATAGCCCAGGCTGGCCTTGAACTCAGTCATCCTGCCTCAGGCTCCCAAGTGTTGGCATTACAGGCATGTGCCACCACACCTAGCTACCATGTGCTTTTTTAGAGCCATTTTATTCTAGCCCTTCCAGCCTCTCCAGACGCACTGGCCACCTTTCCTCCACATTGGCACCAGGGCCTGGGGCAGGGGTTGAAGGCACAAAACAGAAGGTGAAGCAGAAGCACACTGAAAAATGGGCCAAGTGAAGCAACGACAGAGAGGCCCAGCCTGAGGAGAGGCTTTAGGAGGTTCATGGCTGATGGGAAGGAAGCAGAGCCAGAATCAATTCTAAGTCAAAGCCTCTCCATACCAGCCAGCCAACTTGAGAGGCAGCTCTGGCCAACAATCCCATGGGGCAACTTCCCAAACACAACAGCAGCCAGCGAGGGCACTGGATTTCAGCTCTGTGCTGCACTGGCTGTACACAGACCTTGAAAATCTGGCTCAATGCAGAACCTGCCCCAGTCTCTACTGCCGTCCCTAACATCCTTGGGCTGGCACTCACCTCCCTGGTTTCAGCCCTGTGCCCTCTACTCGGCTCAGGAGCCTGTTCTCACAGCCCACCTTGTCATCTTCTGACCAAAGCCACACATAGGCTGACACAACTGAACAATGCCAAACTGCCTAGAAATGGGAGAGGGTGCCCACATAAGCAGCATACATACTAAAACTGTAACAATACAGAGAAGTTAGCAGGGTCTCTGCTCAGGGGTGACGTACAAATGTCCAGAGCAATCTGCATTTTAAAAAACATTTTTTGTTGTTGTTGTTAGCACAATCTATACCGTGCTGTTCAAATACCAACTTACAAATATTTACCTCACTAGTACAAATAAAGCACATATAAGGGGGAAAAAACCAAAAAACATTTTTTAGCCCCACCAAGTAACATACAGATCATTACTGTATCAGTATAATCTCGGCCACAGCTAGGACTGGAGAGACCTCTACAGTATGTCATGGAGCCCAGGATACCATGTGTCAGCTAATCCAAGGGAGTTTCAGACCAGTGCAGTCAGCAGAGACACTGATATAGCTGCCCAATTTATTGGTGGAGGTTCTGCAACAGTAGGAATGGCTATTTCTGGTACTGGCATTGGAACAGTCTTTGGCAGCCTTATCATTGGTTATGTCAGCAAACCTTCACTTGAAGCAGCAGTTGTTCTCATATGCTATCCTGGGATTGGTCTGCTCTGAAGCTATAGGTCTCTTTTGTTTGACAGTTTCTTGATCTTGTTTGCCATGTAACAGAAATTACTGCTTGAAATGTTAGCACTCATAGTAATTACGGATATAATTCTGTGTATCTTACTGTCACACTGAAAAGTGTAGTGTTGGTGTCATTTCCAAAGTCTCATGGGCCAAGAGATAGCTCAGAGGCATAAGCACCTACCTGGTAAGCACCAGGATCCGAGTTTGATCCCTGACCCCACATGCCATGGGGTCTCAGCCCCAGATGCCTGGGTACCCAGCATGCAGCCCCAGAACAGAGCATGGTGGCACACACCTGTAATCCCAAAACTTGGGAGGTTGAGCCAGGAGGATCTCTGCCAATTCAAGACCAGCCTGGACACTACAAAAAGTGAACACAAGGCCAGCCCAAACTGCATAGTAAGACCCTGTCTCAAAAAAAAAAAAAAAAAAAAGTCGGGTCAGGGAAGTGGCTCAGTAGAATAAGTGCTTGCCTGCCAAGCACAAGGGCCTGAGTTCAATCCCTGGTTCAAAAAAAAAAAAGTTTTTTTTTTTTTTTTTTTTTTTTTTTTAAGTTCTCCAGGACTGATAATACATGCCTATAATCCCAGCACTAAGGAGGCTGAAGCAGGAGGATCATTTTGAGTCCAAGACCAGCCTGGACTACAAAGTGAGCTCATAGCCCAAACTGCAGGGGGTTAGCTCAGGGGCACAGTGCTTGCCTGGCAAGTACAAGGTCCTAATTTTGATTCCTGGTACCTAAAAACAAAACAAAACAAAACACACACACACACACACACACACACACACACACACACACGCAATGAATTAAAGCAAGTAAAAAGTAAAGTGAAATCAAAATGAATCAAAGATATAGCTGTCAGAAACAATCTGGTGAGGCGGGAGAGTTCAGCGGATTTAGCACCTGCTTAGGAAAATACAGGGACCATGGTTTGATCCCTGGTACCACATGCTGCACCAGCCCTGCACCTGGGCTCGCTGAGCTGGCCACCAAGACCAGGGATGGTGGTGTACACCTGTAATTCCAGCGCTGGGGAGGCTGAAAACAGGAGAATCACTATGAATCCGAGCTGTGTAGTGAGACCCTGTACCAAATACATTAAAAAGAGAGGCTGGCCAAATAGCTCAGCAGATTAAAGTGCCTGCAAGCAGGCACAGGTGCGGGGGTGGGGGGGGGGTTCAATCCCCAGGCTTGCCCTGCCGGCCCCACCCCCAGGGCATGCTGAGATGTTGGTTGAGACTGGACCTGGTGGTGTGCGCCTGTAATCCCAGCTCTTGGGAGACTGTAAACAGGCAGATCACTATGAGTCCAATCTAGTAGTGAGACCCTGAACACCCTGCAGACCCTTCCCTAAAATACAAAAAGAAAAAAAAAAAAAAGAAGAAGAAGAAAAGAAAAAGGAAAAGACAGAAAGAAAAAAGAATCTGGTGGAAGATAAAATAGGTAAAATGCTATAGGTACAGGCAGGACTTGGTCAACAAGCCCAGTTGCACAGGAAATAGTACCAAGAATAAGCAAATGGGATCATAACAAATTAAAAATGTTTGGCCGGGGAGATGGCTCAGTAGAATAAGCGCTTCCCTGGCAAATGCAAGGGCCTGAGTTCAATCCCCTGTTCCATAAATAAATAAATAAATAAATTAAATAAAAATGTTCAACACAGGGCTGGGGAGACAGCTTAGCGGCATAAATGCCTGCCTGGCATGTGCAAAGTCCAAGGTTTGATCCTTGGTACTGCAAAAAAAAAAAAAAAAAGTTTCAACACAGCAAAAAAAAACATACAATTGAGTGAAGAGACAACCTACACAACAGGAAAAAAATTTGTTAGCTATTCCTTAGAGAGAAGAAAAACATCTAGAATATATAAACAACTAAAAAGAATTAGACCCAAAATAAATGACCCAATGAAAATATGGGCAGGGCTGGGGAAATGGCTTGGTGGTCTAAGCAACTGCTTGTCAAGCGCAAGGACCTGGGTTCAATCCCCAGTACTGCATGCCATGCCACCTGGCGCAGCTGAGATAAGAAGATCACTACAAGTCCAAACTGCATAGCAAGACCCTGATCCAAATAAAAGATTTTAAGGCCAGGGAGATGGCTCAGTAGAATAAGCGCTTGCCTGGCAAGCACAAGGGCCTGAGTTCAATCCCTGGTTCTGCAAAAAAAAAAAAAAAGATTTTAAAAGGGGGCTGAGGGCAGGGCTGATAGCTCAGTGGTCTAAGCGCCTGCCTGGCAAACACAAGGACCCAGGTTCGATCCCAGACACCACATGCCATGCTGCCTGGCATGGTAGTGCACATCTTAATCTCAGCACTGGGGAGACTGAAACAGAAAGATCAGAAGGAGTCTGTGCTGTGTAGTGAGACCCTGTACCAAATAAATAAATAAATAAATAAATAAATAAAGGCAAATGAAATGAAGTTATTTCTTAGAAAATGTACAAATATCTAATAAATACATGAAAAGAAGCTCAACATCGCAGGCCACAAATACAAAATAAAACAACACTGAAATCTCTTTTTTTAATTTTCTTGGATGCTGGAGACTGAAATTTCATGTTATACTAGAAAGAATAGTGCCTAAATGAATCAAATAATCATAAAAATAAATCAAATAATAACAAATGCTGGTGAGTCTGTAGGGTAAAAGACCCCCTTTACATTACTGGTATGAATGTAAACTAGTACAACTGAAGGATAAAATTAAAATTTTATTTTATTTATTTTTTCAGTACCAGGAATTGAACTCGGGGCCTTGTGCTTGTCAGGCAGGTGCTTATGCTGCTGAGCTATCTCCCCAGCTAAAACTAAAAAGCTTGCCCGGGATGCCTGCCAAGATCAAGTGGACGTGTCCCAAAGTTCCTGTAACAGAACATTTCTTCCATCATGTGACCCATGCTTTATATAACTCATGGCCTTGCAATGTAACTTGAGATGTTTCAACTCCCTCAGTGACCCATGATGTCATCTAACCCTCCATCACATGCCTTTGTATCTCCCAATCACTTTCGCTTTAAAAGCCCACCCCCCTCAAAAAAAAATAAAAATTTAAAAAATAAAATAAAGCCTCAAACTCCTGTCAGGCAGGGACCTGACTGTTGGAGAAATCCTAGTCAGAGGCCCACGGGTGTAATAAATTGCCTCATAAACCTCCTCCATGCCATTCTTTCCATAGTTGATCTGTTTTTATATAATACAATCATTGTAGAAATCAGTGTGGCGAACCCTCAAAAAACTAAATGTAGCTAGATGACCAAGGCCAGCCTGGGCTACCTAGTGAGCTCAAGGCTAGTCTGAATTGCATAGAAGATCCTGTCTAAAAAAATTAAATTACGCACCTGTAATCCCAGCTCTTGGGAGGTTGTAAACAGGAGGATCACTACGAGTCCAATCCAGTAGTGAGACCCTGAACACCCTG